GTAGTTTTCTTCTTGCTTATATTGGATTCCCTGTTTTTCTAGCCCCCTACTCCCTTATTTCTTTATATTTAAGAAGGCACATCTTCTGGTATCCTCATAGGAAAAGGTGCATAAGAAATAAAGGTTTTGCATGCTTGATAAAATGAGATTGCTATCTTACCTAATTGTTTGACAGAATACATAGAACTCTTGGTTGGAAATCATTTTCCTTCAGAATTTGAAGTTATTTCTCTACTGCCTGTTAGCTTTCAGCATTACTGTTAGCAAGTCCAATGCAGTTCTGATTTCTTTTTTTTTTTTGAGATGAGTTTTACTCTGCCATCCACACTGGAGTGCAGTGGTGTGATCTCCGATCACTGCAACCTCTGCATCATGGGTTCAGGAGATTCTCCTGCCTCAGCCTCCCAAGTAGCTGGGACTACAGATGTGCACCACTATGCCCAGTTAATTTTTGTATTTTTAGTAGAGATGAGGGTTTTGCCATATTGGCCAGGCAGATCTCAAACTCCTGGCCTTAGGTGATCCACCTGCTTTGGCCTCCCAATGTGTTGGGAGATAGACCTGAGCCACCGCACTTGGCTGCAGTTCTGATTTTTTTTTTACTTTTTGTGGAGACGGAGTTTCGCTCTTGTTACCCAGGCTGGAGTGCAATAGTGCGATCTCGGCTCACCGCAACCTCCGCCTCCTGGGTTCAAGCAATTCTCCTGCCTCAGCCTCCTGAGTAGCTGGGATTACAGGCACGCACCACCATGCCCAGCTAATTTTTTGTAGTTTTAGTAGAGACGGGGTTTCACCATATTGACCAGGATGGTCTCGATCTCTTGACCTCGTGATCCACCCGCCTCGGCCTCCCAAAGTGCTGGGATTACAGGCTTGAGTCACCGCGCCCGGCCCAGTTCTGATTTTTTTCTTTTCTTTTTTTTTTTTTTTTTTTGAGACAGTCTTGCTCTGTTGCCCAGTCTGGAGTGCAGTGGCGCGATCTTGGCTCCAGTTCAAGTGATTGTCTTGTCTCAGCCTCCCAAGTAGCTGAGATTACAGGTGTGCACTACCATGCCTGGGTAATTTTTGTGGTTTTAGTAGAGATGGAGTTTCAATTTATCACATTGGCCAGTCCGGATTCGAATTACTGACCACGAGTGATCCACTCACCTCAGCCTCACAAAGTTCTGGGATTATAGGCGTGAACCACTGTACCTGGCCTATTCTGATTTCTTTTTAATCATTTGTGTGTGGTAGTTCTCTTTGGGTTTAGTATTTTTTTCTTTAACCTGGTTAATTCTGATACTTTTCATGATGGTATGCTTTTGTACTAGGTACATAGTGGTCCTTTTGATTTGTTAGCTCATGTTTCAGAATGTTAGTTTAGGGCAGGGAGAAAGTTTTTGAATTATTTCTTTGATAATTTCTTCAGTTCCATTTTGTTTGCTTTTTCTGTATTTTTTTTTTCTTTTTTCTTTTTTTCTTGAGATAGAGTCTCACTCTGTCGCCAGGACTGGAGTGCAGTGGCGTGATTTCGGCTCACTGCAACCTCTGCCTCCTGGGCTTAAGCGATTCTCCTGTCTCAGCCTCCTGAGTAGCTGGGTTTACAGGTGCCCACCACTATGCCCCACTGATTTTTTGTATTTTTAGTAGAGACGGGATTTTACCATGTTGGCCAGACTGGTCTCAAACTCGTGAACTCGTGATCTGCCCGCCTTGGGCTCCCAAAGTGTTTGGATTATAGGCGTGAGCCACCAAGTCCGGCTTCTGTATTTTTTTTTAAACATGGATATTGTACTTTCTAATCTGATCCTATAACTTTTTTTTATTTTTATTTTCTGTTTCAGCTGTATAGCTCTTTTTGCTCTACTTTCTGAGGTGATTCCTCACTTTCTCTTCCAACCCTTCACTTAAATTTATTCAAGCGATTCTCTGACCTCAGCCTTCTGAGTAGCTGGATTACAGGTGCACACCACCGTGGCCGACTACTTTTCTGTATTTAGTAGAGATGGGGTTTCATCATATTGATCAGGCTGGTCTCGAACTCCTGACCTCAGGTGATCCCAGAGTACCGGGATTATAGGCGTGAACCACTGTGCTCGGCCATACTTTTTAATTTCTAAGGACTCTTTTATGATTTCTGGCTGTTCCTTGTTTTTGTAATCTTCTGTTAAAGTTTCTTGGATACAGTTTATTTCAATTTTAATTTAATTTTTTTTCAAGATAGTGTCATGCTTTTGTCACCCAGGCTGGAGTGCAGTGGAATCATCTTGGCTCACTGCAACCTCTGCCTCCTGGGTGCAAGTAGTTCTCCCACCTCAGCCTCTTGAGTAGCTGGGATTAGAGGCCCATGCCAGCACACCTGGCTAAGTTTTGTATTTTTAGTAGAGACAGGGTTTTGCCATAGTGGCCAGGCTGGTCTTAAACTTCTGACCTCAGGTGATCCACCCTCTTTGACCTCCCAAAGTGCTGGGATTACAGGTATGAGGCACCAGCCTCATACAGTTGCATACAGTATGGGCATACAGTATGCCCAGCCGATACAGTTTAATTGGAGGTTTTTGTTTTGTTTCAGTTTTATGAAATTTTCCTCTGCTCCTCGAACTCTTTTCTTTTGTACTGTTTTGGCCTGTCTTTTGTGTTAGTGACTTTGTGAAAAAAATCTGGTGATTCTCAGCCATTGATTCAAATTTAAGACAAATTTTTTTTTTTTTTTTTCTTGAGACAGAGTCTTGCTCTGTTGCCAGGCTGAAGTGCAATGGTGCGATTTTGGCTCACTGCAGTCTCCACCTCCCAGGCTCAGGCGATTCTTCTGCTTCAGCCTCCCAAGTAGCTGGGACTGTAGGTGCGTGCCACCATGCCCAGCTGATTTTTGCATTTTTAGTAGAGACGAGGTTTTGCCATGTTGGTCAGGATGGTCTCAATCTCTTGACCTGGTGATCCACTTTGGCCTCCCAAACTGTTGGGATTTCAGGTGTGAACCATGGCGCCCTGACCCCCTCCCCACCACTCCTTTTTTTGGATATGGAGTCTCACTGTGTTGCCCAGGCTGGAGTGCAATGGCATGATCTTGGCTCACTGCAGCCTTTGTCTTGTGGGTTCAAGCGATTCACCTGTCTCCACCTCCTGAGTAGCTGGGACTACAGGGCATGCGCCACCACACCTGGTTAATTTTATTGTATTGTTAATAGAGATGGGGTTTTACCATGTTGGCCAGGCTGGTCTCGAACTCCTGACTTCAAGTAATACGCCCACCTTGGCCTCCCAAGGTGCTGGGATTACAGGCGTGAGCCACCGTGCCCAGCCTCAAATTTAAGACAAATTTGTCATGAGGGGATTGGAAGCTGTGTCTGTGTGAGCAGACATTGTTGAGTGATAGAGTTCATTATAAGTGATCTAGCAGGGTTCTCAGTTTATTAAGAGATAAATACTGTGATCACGATCACCTGTTTGGGGTTGACAAACCTGGTTGGTTACCAGTATTCCTTCAGCCAGATGGGTGTTGGAATTTGAGGCTTTAGAATTAAACTTTTTTTTTTTTTTTTTTTGAGACGGAGTTTCGCTCTTGTTACCAAGGCTGGAGTGCAATGGCGCGATCTCGGCTCACCGCAACCTCCGCCTCCCGGGTTCAGGCAGTTCTCCTGCCTCAGCCTCCTGAGTAGCTGGGATTACAGGCACGCGCCACCATGCCCAGCTAATTTTTTGTAGTTTTAGTAGAGACGGGGTTTCACCATTTTGACCAGGATGGTCTTGATCTCTTGACCTTGTGATCCACCCGCCTCGACCTCCCAAAGTGCTGGGATTACAGGCTTGAGCCACCGCGCCCGGCCTTAGAATTATACTTTTATAATTCTTGTTTTTCCTCAGCTGCTCATGGTGTTCCTGAGTCTAGATTTCCTCCACTTACCCTCTCTAAAAAATTAACCTTCGCAGTTTTCTAGGGCAGGGGAGAGCCAGTTACATGGTAGTATGTAGAATAAGCGGATTGTTTTAATTGCTTTTCAGATGATATACAATTCCTCTTGGTTAGCCATATCTGAAAATGCCTCTCCTGGACACATAGAACATCACTGTGCTTGTGCATCTCCCCATCCCCTGGTGCCTGATGTCTAATGTTCCTCCAGTTTCTGGTGCTCTGGTGCATTGCTTTTGGGCTTGCCTTTCTTACTGCAGCAGCTTTCTTTGGTCCTAAGTCATTTGCCACTTACCATATTTCCTTTCTGGTTTCCAGGGATATTCTTTTTATATTTATGGCTTTATGCCCTTTATCTGGGTTGCTATTTGGCGTTTCAAGAAAGAGAAGTGGTAGCTTTTTTAAGTGGAATTAACTACTTGTGTTTCTGATGTGGTCTTTTTATATTTCTAACACGGTCTTGTTTTACCAAGTAGGGTCTTGTATTATGAAGTACTAGTAAATATTTTTTGTCTTCAGTGTATCCTGTTTACTTGTTTATTTTCCCACTCAACTCACAAACATTTTTGAATCATCTCATGGATTCTGCTTTCCATTTACATTTTTGCCCTTTCGTCTTTTCTTTTTCGCTGGCAAACTTCCCGAATAAATAAAACTAGTTGATGTATTCACTTCTTCAAATGCCTACTGTGTTATTTTTTTCCCTTGTGCTTAATGATTGAGATATAATTCAGTTATTATAAATAATAGCATATGAAATCTGTATTTGATATAACACTTTCATCATGGACACTGTCCATTTAGTTCTTCAGTGACTTAACATAAAAGATCCATGTACAAGAAGTTCTTTTAATAATAAAACATCGGGAAAATTATCTCCCTTGAGTATCTGGTATATTTCCTCCTTTTTGCTAGATCCGTGAAATACATTCTGTTTATCTTTTTGTCCTGGTTACCAGGCAGCCTAGAACGAAATCTGGTCTTTAGTTATATCAGCTGTATTAATATTATTAGTATATTTGTTCCCTCTTTCTCCTTCCACGGGATTTAGGACTTCACCTCTTATCTCTGTTTCTCTGCGTGTTGATTTCATTCTCTCACACTACAGACTCTACTTCATGAGGCTGGAACCATGACTGCTGGCAGCTCTTGTTTCCAGCCCCTTCTGCCAGAAGAAGGGGTGCTCTTGAAGAATCCTGGAAAGGACTCTGATTGGCCTGTCTTGGATCATGTGCCCACCATCTCTGTGGCTGGAGTGGGGAGGGTACTGTGAATGGCAACCGTCACTAGAACTACATAGTTGGAGTCAGGGGTAAGAGCAGTTTCCATAATGCAGGGGGGTGGGTGCTATTTGTGAAAGAAGGGGGATGCTTATGAAGCAGAAAAACAATAGATGTCTATCATACTAGCTTTAATTGTTTCTTTTTCTTTCTTTTTTTTTTTTTTGAGATAGAATCTCGCTTTGTTGCCCAGGCTGGAGTGCAATGGCACAATCTGGGCTCACGGCAACCTCTGCCTCCCTGGTTCAAGCAATTCTCCTGCCTCAGCCTCCCAAGTAGCTGGGATTACAGGTGCCCACCACCATGTCCAGCTAATATTTTGTATTTTCAATAGAGACAGCGTTTTGCCATGTTGGCCAAGCTGGTCTCAAACTACTGACATCAGGTGATCCACCCACCTTAGCCTCCCAAAGTGCTGGGATTACAGGCATCAACCACCATGGCTGGCCTTATTTTTCTTTTTTAAATTGTTATAATACTTGTCCTTTGTTGTAGACTGCTTCAAATCCTTTTCTAAAGATTTTAGGTATACATACATTAAATATCCTAAAATAACAAATTCTTATTCATTCACTCTTCAGGGCTGCAATGAGCTATGATCCTGCCACTGTACTCCAGCCTGGGTGACAGAGTGAGACCATATTTCTAAGAAAAAAAAAAAATCAGAGATCATGGGCTTTGGAGTCAGATGAACTAAATTTATGACTGAGCAAGTTTCTTATCTTTTTTTTTTTTTTTTTTGGGACGGAGTTTCGCTCTTGTTACCCAGGCTGGAGTGCAATGGCGCGATCTCGGCTCACCGCAACCTCCGCCTCCTGGGTTCAGGCAATTCTCCTGCCTCAGCCTCCTGAGTAGCTGGGATTACAGGCACGTGCCACCATGCCCAGCTAATTTTTTGTATTTTTAGTAGAGACGGGGTTTCACCATGTTGACCAGGATGGTCTGGATCTCTTGACCTCGTGATCCACCCGCCTCGGCCTCCCACAGTGCTGGGATTACAGGCTTGAGCCATTTTTTTTAATTTTTAATAAAAGAATAGAGGTGGGGTTTCGCTACATTGCCCAGGCTGGTCTTGAACCCCTGGCCTCAAACGATCCTCCCTTCTTGGCCTCCCAAGGTGCTGGGATTACAGGCATGAGTCATTGTGTCCAGCCTCTTTTCAAAAAATTTCTAATTTTTAAAATTTTGAATAGAGACATCTATTTGTTTTGACACTATTCCTCTCAGTTCTAAAGTGGCACTGTCATAAATCAGCTATTAATATTTGTATGGATTTCTATCTGGACTTTGTGTTCTTTTTATGTGTCTTAGGGCAAGAACCACAGTTTTAAAATTACTGTAGCTTCATATTAATAACAACTCTGGATGCAAGGTATCAGATAGAATTAGTCCTTCTATATTGTGTTCCTTTTTGTTGTTGTTTGAAATATCTTGCCACTTATTAGCTCTTTGCATTTGATAAACATTTTCGACCATAATGTTCCACAAAAAAGTTGCTAGTGTTTTATTTTAGTTTGCATTGATTATGTGTATCAATTTGAGGAGAATGGATATCTTTTTATTTTTATTTTTCTGAGTCAGAGTTTTGCTCTTGTTGCCCCAGCCTGTAGTGCAGTGGCATGATCTTGGCTTACTTCAACCTCTGCCTTCCAGTTTCAAGCTATTCTGCTGCCTCAGTCTCCTGAGTACCTGGGATTACAGGCGCCTGCCAGCATGCCCGGCTAATTTTTGTATTTTTAGTAGAGACAAGGTTTCACCATGTTGGCCAGGCCGGTCTTGAACTCCTGACCTCGTGATCTGCCTGTCTCAACCTCCCAAAGTGCTGGGATTTCAGGTGTGAGCCACCGTGCCTGTCTATGTATATATGTATGTATCTGTGTATGACAGAGTCTTGCTGTGTTGCCCAGGCTGGAATGCAGTGGCTCAATCTCCGCTCACTGTAACTTCCGACTCCTGGGTTCAAGTGATTCTCCTGCCTCAGCCTTTGTCTACTAAAATTACAGTGATTAGCCGGGCGTGGTGGGACTACAGGTGCCTGCCACCACACCTGGCTAATCTTTGTATTTTTAGTAGAGACAGGGTTTCACTATGTTGGCCAGGCTGTTCTCAAACTCCTGACCTCGTGATCTGCCTGCATTGGCCCTCCCAAAGTGTTGGTATTACAGGCATGAGCCACTGTGCCCAGGGATAATAGTTTTGAATTTTTCAATCCATGGATGTGGTAATCTGATTACTCAGATTTTCTTTATTTATTGTGGTAAAATATGCATAATACAAGATATACCATTTTGACTATTTTTAGGTATGCAATTCAGTAAGTACATTCACAGTGTTTTATAACCATCAGCAGTACATATTTCCAGAGTTTTTTTCATCCCAAAGAGAAATTCTGTACCTCGTAAGCATAACTTTGCATTTCATCCTCTCCGTAGCCCCTGGTAACTTCTGTTTCTTTCAAGTTGACTAGTTTAGATACCTCATGTAAGTGGAATCTTATTTGTTCTTTTGTATGTAGCTTATTTCACTTTGAATGTTTTCAAGGTTCACCTATGTTGTAGCATGTATCAGAATTTGAATCTTGTTTATAACCGAGTAGTACATAATCCGTTGTATGTGTATACCATATTTTGTTTATCCATTCATCTGTTGATGGAAACTTACGTTGTTTCCACCTTTTGGCTATTGTGCATAATGCTGTGCTGAATATTGGTATTCTAGCATCTCTTTGAATCTTTTTTTTTGGGGGTATACATTAGGAATGAAGTTGCTGGTTCATATGGTAATTCTTTTGGTGTTTTGAGGAACTGGTAAACTGGTTTTCACAGAAACCTCAGCATTTTGTATTCCTATCACCAATGCATGAAGGTTCAATTTTTTTCGACTCAGTCTTTGTCAATTTTCTTGAACTCTTGTTATTTTCTGTTGTTGTTGTTAACTGGTTTTTTTTTTTTTTTTTGAGACGGAGTTTCACTCTTGTTACCCAGGCTGGAGTGCAATGGCGCGATCTCGGCTCACCGCAACCTCCGCCTCCTGGGTTCAGGCAATTCTCCTGCCTCAACCTCCTGAGTAGCTGGGATTACAGGCACGCGCCACCATGCCCAGCTAATGTTTTTGTATTTTTAGTAGAGACGGGGTTTCACCATGTTGACCAGGATGGTCTCGATCTCTTGACCTCGTGATCCACCCGCCTCGGCCTTCCAAAGTGCTGGGGTTACAGGCTTGAGCCACTGCGCCCGGCTGTTGTTACTGTTTTTGAGACAGGGTCTTGTTCTATCACTCAGGCTTGAAGTGCAGTGGCTTGAACATGGTTCACTGCAGCCTCAACCTCCTGGGATCAAGCAGTTGTCCCACGTTAGCCTCCTGTGTAGCTGGGACCACAGGCGCGCACCACCACCAACGCCACCTAATTTCATTGATTTTTATAGAGAGGTACTCTCACTATGTTGTCCAGGCTGGTCTTGCACTTCTGGACTAAAACAATCCTCCTGCCTCAGCCTCCTTAAAGTATTGGGATTAAAAGTGTGAGCCATGGCATCTGGTTTATTTTCTGGGTTTTTCTTTTTTTTGTTTTTTTGATGGTAGCCAAGCTAATGATGTAAGGTGGTATCTTGTAGTTTTGAGTTGCATTTTCCCAGTGATTAGTGATACAAGCTTCTTTTCATCTGCTTGTTGGCCATTTATGTGTATTCATTGGAAAAGTATCTATTCAGGTCCTTTGCCCACTTTGTTCGACTTTTTGCTGTTGAAATATCAGTATTATTCATCTTGTTCTAGATCCTAGACCCAATATTTAATTATAAATTCCAGACCGTTCTTAGATAACTTATTTGTAAATATTTTCTTCCATTTTATGTGTTGTCTTTTCACTCTGTTGATGATCATGTCCTTTTATGCACAGGGGTTTTAATTGTGATGAATCTTTTTTTAGTTTTTGTTGTCTGTGCCTTTTGTATCATATCCAAGAAATGATTGTCAAATTGACTGCAGTGAAGATTTTCCCCTGTGTTTCCTTCTAAGTGTTTCTATAGTTGTAGCTCTTATGTTTAGGTCTTTGATTCATTCTGAGTCAGTTTTTGTGTGCAGTGTAAGATAAGTGTCCACCTACATTCTTTTGCATGTATATATCCAGTTTTCCCAGCATTATTTGTTGAAAAGTTTCTCTTTCCCATTGAATGATTCTGGCACCTTTGTTGAAAATCACATCATCATATAAGCAGGAGTTTATTTCTGAACTCTCTATTCTCTTTCCATGCCAGTACAACACTGTTTTGATTACTATAGCTTTGTAGTGAGTTTTGAAATCAATAAGTGTGAGGTCTTCAAGTTTAATCTTCTGTTTCCAGATTGTTTTGACTATTTGAGATCTCTTGAGATTCTACATGAATTTTAGAATGTTTTTTATTTCTGCAAAAAACATTCTTGGGATTTTGATAGAAATTTTATTGAATGAGTAGATTGCTTTGAAATAGTAACATCTTAACAACATTAAGGTGTTAACAGTCCAAGAACATGAATGTCTTTCCATTTATTTATGTTGTCTTCAGTTTATTTCAGTAAAGTTTTGTCATTTTATGTGTACAAGTCTTGCATTTCCTTCATTGCTGACTTACTCATTTACTTATGTACTTGTTTTTTTGAGACAGAATGTTGCTCTGTTGCCCAGGTTTGGAGTACACTGGTGTAATCTCTGCCCATTGCAACCTCTGCCTCCCAGGTTCAAATGATTCTCCTTCCTCAGCCTCTCTAGTAGCCAGGATTACAGGTGTCCCATGCCCGGCTAATTTTTTGTATTTTTATTTATTTATTTATTTTATCTTTATTTATATATATATTTTTGAGATGCAGTTTCTCAAAAATTCTCATGCCTCAAGCTCCCAAGTAGCTAGGATTATAGGCAAGTACCATCATGCCCAGCCAATTTTTTTTTTTTTTGATACAGAGTCTCGCTCTGTTGCCAGGCTAGAATGCAATGGTGTGGTCTTGGCTTACTGCAACCTTCACCTCCTGGGTTCAAGCAATGGTTCAAGAGATT